AAAAAAAAAAAAAAAAAAGACTCTCAAACCCCATTTAAAGAAGTTCAAATTAAAAGGAGATTTAATTTTCTAGGCATCACATTGTCAGAGTTTTTAAAAGGGTAAAACTCATTGATGGCACTCCTGCTCGTGTATCACCTTGACCCCTAAAACAACCTTAAAAATGCAAACCACTGGCTCCCCAATTGGCCTTGTGAGTTTATGTCCCAAGCAAGAAAGTCAGATCTGGAAGCATATTCCAATTTTGTGTAATTGCAGAAAACAGGGAATTAGGCAACAGGTCTCAGAGCAATGGCCCAACATGCCCCGTGCACAGGGTGACGCAGCCACTGAGCGTGACATGTGTGACAGGGGCTTACTGACTTTGGAAAACATCAAGTGAAAATGCACAACAGCATCAGCCTCGTCCACACGCAGAAAACAGCCCGGCAAGAAACATCGAGTTGCTACTGGTATTGGTGATATTCTGGGACACATATTTTTTCCCTCATACTTGGCTGTGTTGTTTTCCTGAATTATTTACAATGAACAAGATACTCATTCAAGTCAGAAAGTAAGTCAAGTGGATATCACTTTTGTAAAAGCACCAGGTACAGAAAACTGGTGTGCTGGGGTGTGGGGCAGCGTCCACCGGCACAAGTGAGGGGAGAGGTGCAGCTCAGGGCAGGTCAGGGCTGAGTCTGCGCTTCTGGACTGGGGCCTCTGACGGTCTTTGTGAGGATGGTTCCTCACCTCCTCCCTGGGTGGGGAGTGCCCCATCCACCCCTAACTCTGGATCCGTTTTGATGCTGTCTGAGAGGGAATGTTCTCTAAGCCTTTTTTTTTCCCCTCCATTGAGTACTCAGGTGTGAGATTCTCACACTGAGCTTAGAGTACAGAAAAGCAGGTCATCACTGCAGGACCCGGGAGTTGGCGGAGTGGACACTGCTTCTAGGAGCTGCCTGCTTTCTTCCCATCTTCCGTGTCTGGCACGGAGATGCACCAATGTCACCTAACACGGAGCACAAGGTCAGACGATGTGAGGTAAGGTTACTCCGTCACTACACTTAACCCATCTCACCAATGAATTCATTTGGTTTTACTTTGCAGTATTTGCTGGCCAACTGCAGCGTCCGTGGGACTGTGTCCGAGCCTGCTGAACGGCCTCCTCCTGGGCTGCTCAAAGTCCACCTCGCAGCCCTCTGAGCACAGCCCTCCTGGCAAACCAAATTCCAAACCCCTGTGGTATACAGCAGGCGCTTCTACCTTCTCTTTTCAACATGTTTTAATTAACTCGATTCAGCTTTAGCTAAACTGATGCCAGATTTCATAGGAAAATGAATCAGGTCCCCTCTCCCCGTAATGTGGTTTCCCCCCTTGTGAATCTAAGGATCGCAGCGAGGCGGCTGCACCTGTTGGCTGTTTACGGCCAGATAGAGCAGCCCGGCAGCAGCACTGCCAAAACCAAGCTCGGTCTTTTTGGCAGACACACTTCAACCTCCAAACAGATGATGTTAAATGACTCGGTCAGCTTGACAGATTGATTAAGCCTTCCAGGGTGTGTGCTGGGCCATCAGGGAGCTGCCTCCCAAAGCACTAGGTTGACAGGTGTGAGCCACCACCCCCTGCCCCTTCGTTTTATTGAGCTCAAATCCT